CTGCGAGCTGAGGGAGTGGGGATTAAAGCCTCCCTTTCTCGCCACGCTGCCCCTTCGCTCTCGCGAGGGCTGCACGAGCCAACTGCACTCGAAAGCGCCTCTCGGCTCCACGCTCCTCTTCCTTCCTGCCTCCGCCTCGCCGCCGCGCTGGCCTCGTTTTACACCTACCAGGAGGCAGATCCTCCGTGCCCCCACCTCCAGGCCCCCGGTCCCCAACTGCTCCCCGCCGCAGAAGCTCGCCGCACGTGCCAAGCGCTCCCGCTGGCTCCCGTCTCGCGTCCTCCCGATGCCGGCCAACCACTTGTTGGTCCGGCGTGACCCCGGCGCCGCGTCGCTCTCCCCGAGACCCTCGCCCCGGCCGAGACGCGAGCCACCTTCGGGTCGCAACCCTCGCCGAGCGGAAAGGATCGCGAGGACGGGCCGGCTCGCAGCGTCTGGCAATCGCCGGCTTGCGCCTCCCGAAAGAAAAGCTCCTTTGATTCAGTTCAGAGCGGAGGAAACTGTTAAGCCGAGCTTTGTTTTCCTGGATCGCTCCCCCTGCTGTTGACATTCAGATGAGAGCGAGGGAGACAGAAAGTGAGAGAGAGAAAGGAAGTGAGTGCCAAGTTGGCCGCACCCCTTGTCAGCTTGGGTCAGTGCCATGCTCGTTATTAATGCTCTGTCTAGAGGTCACATTCAGACGAAATGAGCCTCTGGGTCAGCCAGAGGAAAAGATTAGAGCTCGTTCGCTGCTCCGCCGCAGAGCGACGGCACCAGCCCGCCTCCCGTCCCTCCGCGGGCAGAAGCGAAGCTGCAGGGCTCTGTTGCCCGCCTCGTTCGGTTTTATTTTGGGGGGGGGAAGCACCTCCTGAAACGGCACAGACTCTCCTCCCGCCGAGCCCCGCGCCGCTGAGCAAGGAGGGGAGCTAGGGGGCGAAGGACCGGGGAGACTTCGATCCACCTTAACAAACCCCGCTCCAGACAGCTGGAAACCTCCGAGGAGGGGACGCGCGGCTGGCTCGCCAGCTCGACTGGAGGAAAGAGCGCCGAGCCCGGAGCATGCGTCCCCACCAACTTCTCGCATCGGGGTCAGGAGGCTCCTGCGTGTGCGACCCCGTTCAGCGCCCTAAGGCAAGGGCTGCCGATGGCTCCGAACAGCCAGAGCTGCAAGGCTTTTAAAGGACCAGCTCTCCGGTTTGGGGGTTTTTGTGGGTTGGTTTTTTTTTCCTCTCGCTCGCTCTCTTTCTTTGGCTGCCGCGAGAGAGCGAAAGCAAAATGCACGGGAGAAGGCGCGAGCGGAGAACTCCCAGCGCTTCATAAGCGATTGATCTGCCTCGCGTGGCTTATCGAAGGAGGGCTCTCCCCGCTCCAGTCTGACCTGCCTGCCGTATGCTTCGAGCCGACTTGCTGACAGGTGAAGCTAGACTGGGAGAATGTAAGTACAGCCCGAGGGCAGAGAGGAAATAGCCAGCTTCTGGGGCTAACGTTGGGCGGGGGGGAGCGCGTGCATGCTCGTGTGTGTGTGTGTGTGTGTGTGTGTGTGTGTGTGTGTGTGTGCGTGCGCGCCCGCTGAAGTGCGCACATCTGCGAGCCGTTTCCCCGAAGCCAGGGAACGCGGCAGATCTGGTCGTTGACTCAGTCGTAGTTTCACTTGTGATCTTAAATGGATGCGTGCATTTTGCCAGGGGCAGACCCAAGCCCGTCCGTTCCCTGCGACAGAGATCACGGGTGCCGGGGCGGGGGGGTCACGTTGAAATGCATGCGTGCGGAGCAAAAGGGGGGAGATCAGAGCAACGCCGTCACGAAGCAGAGCCGTGCCAGGACCTGGTAAAGGGAGTTTTTTGTATCGGCAAGAGCTAGGGCGTCTCCTGGCTGATCCCTCCCAGCCTCTAGCAGGTAATTACAGTTTTGGGAAGCAGGTGTTGCTGTTTTGCTTTCTCCCCCGTGAAGATAAGGGCGTCTGCGCTCACTGGTTCGGTCCTGCAAGGGATGGGCAGTCCGTGCTTTGGAAACACACGGCCTCCGCCTCCTAACACAGAACCAGGCAGCAGCCCCGGTGCGCTGGCAGCGTCCAGGCTGTGACGGTGGGAGGGCCGGGGGCTCAGCACGCTTTTCCCCGTAGGCCTCGAGGCGAAGGCTCCCAAGGAGCCGAGCCTGAATGGGCTTCAGCCCAGCCCCGTGATTGGGAAAGACGCATAAAAGAGCTGGTGCACGGTCAACCCAGCAAGAGAAAGGGCAGCAGGGAGCTGGCCTGACCCGTTACACGCAGACAGAAAAGGTCACGCTGCACTTGGAAACGTTGGAGCAAGCAGAAAAAGGTCTCGGTGGAAGACCCCATCCTCCTGCCCTCCGCTCAGCTGTGGCTGTCGCAAATGCCAGCCTGTCGTCCCCCCCTCCCCTGCCCTGCACGGCTCCAGCGAAACGCCTGCTGTCCAGGGAGCCCCGACTGCAGCGGCTGCAGGACTTATTAGGCGTATGAGAGGCCCTTGCCCGAGCGATGGGTAATTACAGCCCCATCTGGCGCACGTGGGATCCGGTCACCGGCAGAGCAGTGAGGGAGCAGGTTGATTGATTCGCTTGTGTCGGCGGCGCTCGGTGGGTCACGAGGCATCAGGGCCTGCCGGGGAGGGGAGGGATCTCTGGCTTTGCTCTCCCCGGGGCGGGCAGCGAGAGGCTTGTAAGACGGCAACCGCTGAGATCCTGTGTTTGAGTGGAACAGGGCGCTCGACGGCAGCCCATTTCTTCGCTTCTGCAACGGTGCGAACTTTAACTCTTTCGTTTCCTGCCTGCGCCCGGCTCCACCCCGAGTTAGTTTTATTCTTGGGCCTTCGGCCAAGGGGTGTCTCGGACATCAGGAGCTGCAGTCTGCCACGGGGCTGGGGGCAGCAAGCTGGGCTCCCTGCACCCCAGCCGTCTCAGGGGCCAGAAGGCTGGCACCAGCGGTCCTTCAGCTACGCAGATCCCCCACCCCGACCCGGGGCACAGGATCCTGCTCCCCCAGCCCTGGCTCCAGGCCCAGGAATGTAGTTGCTCAAATGCGTTTGCACGGAGGCCAGGTGTTACCTTGTTGGGGATCTTTTTGCCTTAAATGGTGACATTTGGCTTCACAATCCAGCGAGCAGGCCCTACCCACAAACAGCGCTGTGCTTGCAAGGGCTGGTAGGGGAGGTGGCAACGGGGATGCTCTTCGCTCCCCGGGTGCAGGGGCCTGTGCGGGGCACTGGACCGGGCAAGCCGGGCCAGATGCTCTTTGTCCGATGATTGGGCCGTGGCCTGCCGGTGCTGACGATGCCTATTTCCCTCGCGAGGCTTTGCAGGCGGGGTTGGCGGGGGCGGGCTCTTCGCCGCGCGCGGCTTTGCGGGGGGGTTTGGAGGCGCCGGGCCCGCCCGCCACGTACGCCAGGCGTGTTCGGAAGAACACGGACAATGGCAGGCAAGAAGTAAGGGAAAGTTGGAGCGGAGTCAACGCTGCAAGGGCTGATCCCGGCCCAACCTGACTGTGCAGCATGGAGCCAGCTGGAGCGGAGTTACCTGGCTCGATGTGCAACCTGATGGCAGCTGCATAGCAACCCCAGCCCCGCCTGGCAATGGAGCCGAGGCACCAGGCATGCGTGGAGCAGGATCATGCCTTAAAGGGGTAGATACCGAGGCGGCTGCTAGGAGAGACTGCACGGGGCAAAGGATGTCTCCAGGCAGGGCAGTCTGGCACATGGGAAGGACACGGGCGTTTGTGTGTGGAGGTGTTGATTTGTTCAGCTGTATCAGCCTTGCTTTGTTCGGGGGGATAGAGCAGGGACTCGGGTCCCTGCCGCCCTGCTCAGGAGCGTAAAGGCCACGGGTTGCTGGAGAGCTGATTGCCCCATGGCACCTCTCCTCCAAGCTCCTGCTCCCAGGGTGAGCTCAGCCACTCTCTGGGGTCATGGAGGAGGTGGCATTTCTTCCACCCTTGCTGCATTTGGCCTGCAGTCCCCTCTCCCCACACTATGCCCAACTTGCATCCTCGCCTTGGGCATCCATCGCCTTGCCCCCCGTGTCTTCCCTCCATGGTGTCATCAGCCACGTGCTCACGACGTGAGCATCTGTCTCCATCCTGCACTTCTGTGCCTGGACGTCCCTCTGCACTGGAGGGGCTGTGCCCGTGCACCACGTGGATGGGCTAGGACCCCGACGAGCCTCGCTCCAAGGGGTGGCAGGGCAATGGGTGAAGCAAGAACGCGGGACTTGGGGTGACTCCACCATCGGTCTTTGGGAAGCCACTTGGTCCTTGCTCTGCGTCTTGGGTTCTCTTTCCACGTCATGAGGCAGGAGCACCACCCAGCCTCAAGGAAAAGCACGTGCAAGGTGAGAGGCCTGGCAGTCTGAGAATGAGCCGCTGCCATCCTCTGCACCCACTTGCCCACTCTGTGACTGTGCTCCATCCCTCCAGGCTTCCCCGGCTGCTCCACCTGTATGGAGTCATCAGCCCCTGGCACGGTGCCTCACCTGAACGTTTTCTCTTGCTCGCAAGCCCACTATCATTGCTGGTGCCCTCCCCACAGTGATGCGAGTCACCTGGGCCAACGCTCTGCCACCTCCTCGTTGCACTCGCATCTCGTGTCCATCTCTGCACGTGCTTCCAGCTTGCCCCCCAGCCCAACTGAGAGCTGCGGGCTCAGTTATCTCTCCGGTGTCAGTGCCCCGTGAAGGCCTGCTCTCCCTCTCCCAGGGGGGTGGAGAGCAGCAGGCTGTGGAGCTGGCTGTTGTTGGGCAGCCCTGCTGCAGGATGCTTCGTTCCCCAAGGCTGTAGGTCAGATGCCTTTCCCCTGGAAAGAAAAACAGGCTGCTCTCCACCATCGCCTTGGCCACAGAAGCCTTCCAGACAGATGTTGGTGGCCATATTGTTGCCGCGGCATTGGGTTTGCACATGGGGTGTTGCCTGGCCTGGGTGAATGAACAATGCTGCCCTTGTGCAAGTTTATCTGGTTTCAAACTTCCTAATTTCCCCCCTTCTTTTCTTGTTTTTCTTCTCTTCCTGGCTGAAGGTCTCCTTGAACATGGGCGGAATTGGTCTGCCATTGCCAGGATGGTGGGCTCCAAGACCGTGTCGCAGTGCAAAAACTTCTACTTCAACTACAAGAAAAGACAGAACCTGGACGAGATCCTACAGCAGCACAAACTAAAAATGGTAAGAATCCCGCCTCAGCCCACTTGGAGTGCCACAGATATTTCCCGGCAAACAGAGTTCCTGGCGTTCCCAAATCGGGAGGGAAGTTTTTCTTTTTTACTTTTTCTCTCCTTGTAGGATGTGCCTCGATTAAAACCATGGAGCCCAGGCTTCGTGTGATAGTTTAGAACAAGGAACAAGAGCGTTTGTCCTTCGGCTCATGGTATTTTACCAGGGAGCGGGGCAGAATAATGTGATTTCAGGCAGGAGTGAGATTTTTGGTAAGGCAAAGCATGCGATGGCAGTGTGTCAAGGGACTGGGCCAGAGTGTGCTCTCAGTTTGCAGGTGTGTAAATCCTGTGAAGCCTTAAGGTTTGTACTGATTTATTGCCCCAGCACCGGAAACCAGAGCAGGGCCTTGTAATTCGGCATGTTTCCATTGAAACCTTTGCCTAGCCTATACCCCACGGTAGCTCAAGCACCAAGTATAAACATGTGAATGGTGAGTGGACCAGGAAAAGATTAAAGGTGAGGGTTCATCGTGAGCTTTTTAGGATATTGGAAGGAAGAGAGAACAAGCAGTTGGCATATCCAGAGGCCAGCATAGTCTGATAACAAGCTGGGGCTCTGCCCCTGACACTGGCCTCCTGATCCCACCTGTGACCATGGGCAAATCACTTAACCTTTGTCTCCCCGCTGGTAGAATGCAAAGACTAATGCTTCCCCGCTCCAAAGGCCGAGGGAATGAATGAGCTGGTGCACCAGGAATGCATTCTAGCAATGCCGTGCACTGCGACAGGACTACCAAGCCTTGTAAGTGTTACTTCATTGGTAGAGTACCCTGGGTCCCGAGCTTCCCAGCTAATAGAATTCACATGGCTAAAGCCCCAAGGGGTGCTTTGAAAATGCAAAGGGCAGCGTTCAACACAGGAATCTCCCCAGCAAGCTATTGCAACAAGAGTAAAAAGACAGGAAAACAGTGAATGACTCACCCAGGAATTTAATATCCTAGTCTGTCTATAGGAATGAGAAATAGAGAGGACGTTGGTGATTCGTCTTATTAATTCTCCAAGGACCGAGACACTCGTGCGCTCCACGTCTCACTCGATTGTTTTAGAAACAAGGCAGAAAAGCCATACCAAATCAACAAAAAAAAATTACCGAGATTGGAGCGACACTCCCCCTCTCCGCCCCCCAAATAGCAGAGCATTATTTGACAAAGATATCGTGTTCGTTACTGGGGAGAATCTGAAATAAGATCCTGCAGCTCAGTCGGTAATGGAATCAGAGTTGCGTATTTGTATTTACTCGGCTTCCTAACGTTACAGAAATTATACTGCAAGAGCACTTTTCTGCAGAGCCCAATTTTCCCTGCATCCGCTTCTCCGAGGTAGTAGCTAGACTCCTCCGTTCTAATTGTTCACAATTTATATCATCAGCATCATTCTATTTTTTTCGAGCATTCGCGGTTGTGGAATTTGGGTTTTGTGTAAGAACAATGACTGCTCAGCTGTTATTTTTTGTGCTCTATTGTTTTATGGCAACAGCAGATGCCAGAAGGCTGAATAAAATAACAGAACAACTGAGACAAAATTGCCGTAGACTTTTCCTTCTGATTCCTAAATATATTCATAAATGGACCAGAGCTCCTAATCATTTCCTATGTAGAGTCTGGGCATGCCAAAGGCAACCTTGACCTCCTTCAAGGATAAGCAGTGGGTGATCAGGCAGAGATATCATCAGGTGATTTCACTATGAAGCGCCTGACTTCTTTCATGCCCTCAATGTCTGCCCCGACTACTGATTCCCATGCAGATAATGTGCAAGGAAACAGAGGGACTCTGTTTGTCCCCAGATTTGCTAGAAGGTTGGTTAAGGAGGATGAGCTCAATTAGTAGGGTTGATCATTTCTAAAAGGCAACTCCCGTTCTGTCTGCCAGCCCTTTTTCCTAGGCGAGGTTGCATCACTGATGTGCCCTAGATTTTGTTTCAGACGTAGATCTCAGCCCAGGCTCACTGGGGTCCCTCGGCTAAGCCCACAGCTGAACCTCCACACAGCACTGATGAACCCCTGTGCCCATTGCTCAGTTCAGCCAGCGCCGGTGCGTGGTTTTGAATTGCAGCTGTATGAAATGCACAGTTCTGGAGGGTTTCACTCACTGGCTTCAGGTGCACTTCAGTTTGAGTGAGAGGGACCTGCTCAAGTGGAGAGCTTAAAAGTCGACCCCAGGGACCAAAACTATAGCAAAGTCTTGCGTGGAGCTTTGTGTCTGGTTCTGCAGTTTAGGCTGCTTCTGTGCATGCCATTGGGGGCTTTGGCCTGTGCCTTGGGTCGTTTCCAGGTCCGGCGCTTGGATGGGCAAGCACGCATGCTCGGTTTACTGCCGCACACCCGACTTGCAGAGGCACAGGGAGCTTCAGGAAGAGAGAGTGGGCTGGGTGGTGCTGTCCCCAGGGCATCGCGCCACTGCTGGGAGAGCTGTTTGGCCCAGCGGCAACGCTGTCCTGCTTCTCTGCAGTTCAGATGGCTCATGTGCTCCGACATTTGGGCTTGCCCTTGTGTCAATGAAAGGAGAATTGTAGAGTGAGAGATGTCACGTAGAGGGTGTTCAGGGCACGCTGGCAGCCTCTGTCAGAGCGTAGACCATCTCGCACTTCTAGAGGACGGAGCATCGTGGCACTTTGCAGGGCCCCAGACGTCTTGCTCGCGGTGGCCTGTGACAGAAGGGGCTGCCTCATTGCAGGAGTGGGTTGATACTGCAGCAGATAATCAGGGCCCACTTTTTTCATCCCCGGTCCCTGGACATTGCTGCGTGGAGCTGCATGTTCATACCTCCATGAGTCGGACCTACTGGTACGAGGAATCGGGAGGAGCCGGTGCTCTCTGGCCAGGGTTAAGCCTCTCTCTGCCACCGCTTCTGTGTTCTTTGGGTCAGTTTTCGTGCGATTTGCCTGGCACCCTTCTGGCTTCATCTTTAGGTAGTCTGGACCTTCTGCAAGCTGACTTCTCCTTTCGTTAACCACAGCACTTGAGGGGAACAGGGCGTTTTGTCACCACGTGTTCTCTGTGGTCCTCTTCAGCCATCTGCAGTTAGACTCCCTCCCCTAGCAGGAGACTGCTCCCAGTGCCGTGGTTGTTTCGGGGTGTCAATTGCTATGGTCGGGGCCCCGGGCTGCAGCTCCCCAGTATACCTCCATGCTGGAGGCGGTCGTGGTTCTGCCTTGCTGCCGAGGGCCTCTGGGAAGCCTTTCCCTTGGCTCGTGTGGGACTTCTTCCCAAGCCAACTGAAGTCACTGCTGAGATTCCCGTAGGGCTTAGTAGGATCAGGCTGTTGGTCTCGGTGCTGGTCCTGGCACGAGTCCTGGGGTTTTGCATTGTGCTAAGGTTGGTGTTAGTCCCAGTTCTGACCCCAGTCCTGGAATATATATCATCACGTCATATGAAACCGGGAGCGCCTGCATCACGCTGTTAGGAAAGGCTGAGACAGCTGCCGAGGGTAGGTAAATATAATGACTGCTCTGTATCAGTAGCAGGCTTTTTTTAAAGCTGTTTTGGCTGTTCTTTCCGTATCAGGTGGTGATCCCATGAAGAGGCCAAATTTGTCTGGACTACTGCTTTCCCTTTGGGGCAGGTAGCCAGAAAGATGTCACCCAGTGGGAGATATATTTCCTCCTCAGAAATACACTGTGCGGCCAGGGTTATTGAGCTGGGAAGAAGGGGTCAGGCTTTCGTAGCGCCAGGTGGTTTGGAAGTAGGGGAGAGGAGGTGAAGGAGAACTCCTAAGCCTTGCCAGACTTGGAGACAACCTAATGGAGCTAGCTGGAAACCTGCCCGTGCAACCCCAGACGTCTGGGCTGGCTTTTCTAACCAGTGGAACGACACACTCAGCGCTACAGAGCACAGTGGGTGGAGGGTCGGCTTTTAGCCCTATGCTTTTATATCCCTTTTTCCATGTAGCTGGAGGTGTAAGCCTGCAGCAAGGGGCTGCCCCATCGTAGGCAGCAACATCCTGCCAAAGCTATGCCTGCACGTCCCCGAGGAGGAATAATGCCCACCAGGATGACAGAACACTCTGTGCGGTTAGCATTGAGGTGCGCGGCTTTTGGCAAGTACCAAACTAAGCGTGCAAGATGAGGGCTAGAAAACCATGTAATCGGCATTTATGTACCTGGGACCTTTGCCTTCCTGGGGTGTCCTTAGTTACTGGTACCAGGCCGGGCTGCGCTGCTGTACCGCCACTTGTATTCCACGGGGAACTCGATTTTCCCTTTTAAAACAAAACTTGGTGTAAGCTTCTCTCCTGCCCGCTTGGCTCTGCCGGGCAAACTGATAGCATGCGGTTACTATTTTCATGTGTTTGCGCTGTAGTAGCGGGTAGGATTCTCAGTCAGGGGTGAGGGCTGTATTGTGCTGTAGGTCAGAGGCATCTGGTCCTTACTGACCTAAGAGTCGCGTGTTAGTCACAGAGCGATCATAATGTATACACTTCTAGAGGAATCGTGGCAAACAAGATCCGGTTGAAAAGGAAAAAGCTGTGATACGTTAGCTAATATTTGCTCAGTCGTAAAGAGAAATAACTTGGTGGAAAGGTGTGCAGTGTTTGCTGAGTGTCTATATGTCGTTTACAATAAATGGCTTGGGGCACTTCCTTCTGCACAGAGCTGCAGATAATAGATTGAAAGAGCCGCTCGTGTCGTACGAGCCGCGGCCTGAGCATCGCTGCGCTAGGCGCTGTACGAGCAGGCGCCAAAAGCATAATCCCCGTCCCAGAATGCTTGCAAGCAAAGCCAAAGGTGACAACAGGTGGCTCGAGTTTTCTGGAGTGACAGGAGAGCAGGGTCAGAGCGGGGACGTGCGTGGCTTGGTATGACTGTCCCGGCTCCGGGGCCCTGGATCAGAGCATTTGTTAGTGCTGTTGAGCGGCGGCCCTGTGTCTTAGATCTGCCCTCCTGGATTTCCAGTTGCTCCCATTACATATCGCACGCTCATTATGCGCTATCCTCTCCCACACAGTCCCCGAGCCCTGACCAGCTGCCCAACTTTGCGAGCAACCTCCACGTCGGTACGTGCCGAGCGCTGCCGCTTGCTGTTCAGCGGTAATAAAAGCCAAGTAAGGCGTTGAGGCAGAGGCTGGTTCCCAGCTAATTCCCCAGTGTCAGAGCCTGTTTGTCGGCTCGACTGAGTCACAGACGCATGAGTAAGAGGCAGAGAAGGCTTTGCCATAGTAACCCGGGGAGCTTTGTCACTGCAGTTGCACTATCGGGAGCTCGAACGGTGAGCTGCTTCCCCAGACAAAAACCGTGCAGCTGTTGAATAGTGGCCTTGATGAAACACCGCTGCGTGTGCTGTAATAGAGATCACCCGAGGAGTGCAGCCAGGGGCAGAGGGCCCTTGGGCACCAACCGCAGCGCCTCTGTGCTCCGACAGCAGCATCCCCAGTGCCTTTTCCCTTTCCGGGCTAGTAGGATAAAAATAGATTGAAAGCCAGCGGTGTTCCCAAGCAAGAGCAGCTGGGTGGTTTGGGTCTCTCCCTGTATCTGGAGAAGTTTGCATGGGGGTGGGGAGGGAGGAAGAGGAGCATTACACTTCCCAACATGGAGATCCCGAGGCAGAGCTGGCACTTCCGCCGAAGTTTTATCTGCTCATCCCTCGAGACAAACACGCCGTGTGGGATGTGGGGGTTTCATAGTTGTTAAGAGCCAGAAGGGACCTTACAGATCCAGCCCCACCCTGCACTTGGGGCAGGAAAGACTGCTGATACCAGATGACCCCAGCAAGGTGGGCGTCAAGGCGGTTTTTGAAAATTGCCAGGGTGGATGACTGTTTGCAGAAGGCGCTGGGCCTGCTCCTACCAGCCGTTCTTTAACAGTGATCCTGGGAGACGGGAGCAGAGGGTCTTAGTTTGAGCCAAATAGTATGACGAGGAGCAGCGTGCGTGTGTCAGTGTGACCGTCACGTTTGTGTAAGAAGGTGAAATAAAGAGGCAAAAAGGGCATGGGCAGAGCAGCCCAGGACTTTGTTTGCCCCCGTGCTGCTTGTTGGCTATGTGACAGCCACCTAAGTGGTGCAAGCAGCTACTCTGGACACTTTCAAGAAACACTTGGATGCCGATCTTCCTGGGATCATTTGACCCCAGCTGACTTGCTGCCCGTTGGGCAGGGGACTGGACCCGATGATCTCGCGAGGTCCCTTCCAGCCCTAATGTCTATGAGATCTATCAGAGGTATCCACTGACTTGGGTGTCTTAAGAGAGCAGTGATATTTCCTGAGCACCCGCAGCCCCTGCAAACTTCACTGGGAGTTGGTGGGGGCTGAGCCGCTGTAAAAATCAGGCTGTTGGATGGTGTCTTGGACACTCCGGGGGCCAGATACCAGCTGTAACTTGCTGTGACCCCTTCTAATGCAATCCAGTAGATCACAAACTTAATTTTCTTTGTCAAGATGGCTTGTCTGAGCATGCAGTATTCTGAGGTCCAGCACCCCATTGTATTTCCAGCCCCGAAATGCTAATATTAGCAGGATCAAAATTCTGTCACCTGAAAACAGAGACCCTGAATAGGCCCTGAAAGGAAATCGTTTTATCTTATCACCCGACTTCGGGCAGCGCTCTCCTATTCTTAGAACGCAGCATCATGGAAGAATTGCCTGTTTGCCGGGAGCCTCATGGGCAGCGCTGCCGGTCCAGGCTGGTGTGCCACCCCGCTAGCGCACCCCGGTGAAGCTCTTTGGAGCGGTACCATGTGCATGCAATAAACTTGGATGGGGTTTGACTGCTGTTGGCAGTGACTTCTTGAGAAGCAAGCTGATCCTTGCCATAAGGACAGCAGAACCAGACTTGTGCATACGTGAGACGTCACCTCGCTCTCAAGGTTTTGTTGTAGAGCCAGCCAGGTTGGGGCTAAGGTTGGTGCCATTGTGTGAGTTGTCCTCCATTAGCAACGCAGGCTTCAGGGATTCCCAGGCTCCTTAGAGATCAAAACCAGGGGGAGAGCTGACATTGCTGCTGCTACCTCTGCCTGCTGCTTCTCACAGGCAGGTGTGAGGGCACGTTCCCTGCCCTGACGTGCTTTTAATCCAAACAGGAGCAACCAGAGGCAACGAGGGGAATAGGAGGCAGGAAAGGTCTGAGTGGACCAGGTCACCTCATAGCTTCCTTGGCAGTACAAGGTGGTTCCCTAAACCGTCGTCTCTCTCTATCGTCAGAACTTGCGTTGCGTTGAACCATGAGGCTGCCACCAGCTTTGTCCTCCAGACCCAGTGCCAGCAGGCACTTCTCGCCTTTGACCCTCGTGTGCTTTCTTCCCACCAGGAGAAAGAGCGCAACGCCAAGAGGAAGAAGAAAAAAGCCCCCGCCGCGCAAAATGAAGAGGCGGCCTTCGCTCCTGCAGCAGAGGACGAGGAGATGGAGGTATCGGGGATAAGCGGCAACGAAGAAGAGATGGCCGAGGAGGCAGAAGGTGAGGCATTGAGGGCCACCATTCCTGTGGCAGGGATCGGCTTGGATATTCCTGGGCTGCCCCTGGGTTCTTGGCTGTTTAGTGCTATGTTTGGCCCATTTTTTTTCCACCACAAGCATCTCCTCATGGGCAGGGGACCATGCTGGGCAGGTCGAGTGGTGCTGGTCCCAGGGACCATGAGAGGGTGACACTTCTGTGCAGCACCAGGTGCGCTGACCCGAGCTCCTCAGGCTTTCACCATCTCAGGGTTTACAGTCCGGCTCTGAATTTTGTCTGGTGTAGCGTTGATTTAAGGGTAGTAGGGAGGTGAGAGCTCCATACTGGTATCCGGTATGGTCCAGCTGGCATCCAGGGCACCACTTGGGCTCCAGAGGGGTTGTGGCCTGGACTGTTTTGATAGGGGTCAGGCTGCCGATGGTGGGAACCGCACTTCTGTCTCTGGAAGGGGAAGAGCACAGGCAGTGCAAGCTTCCCCTGCTGCCTTGTCCTGGAGATCTCTTGCCAAAAGGGGAGGTGTGTTTTCAGAGCCCACTTGCAGTGCAGTCTCAGTGCCCACGGGGACACCCTCGATGCCATCACTACCGCTCCACACAGTCCGTACCGTTCCCGGTACCAGCACCCTTGCAGGACAATTCCCCATCTCTTCCACACACCATGGGAACCCTCCACCTCCCCCTTTAGGCCCCTCTAGTCTAGTCCAGGGCATCACCTCGTGCTTTCTAAGATTTATCCCCCCACAACAAAGAGCCTGCCCTCCTGACCAACCCCCTGCTCCCAGGGCACACCGCTTATCCCAAGGCCTGGCACACTTCTGCTGTCTTGTAAACCAGTTTTTGTTTCGTCATTTTATATGCAGGACTGTTCCCAAGGCATCTTGGCAAAGCCCAGGGACACGTCAGGGTTAGATAGCTGGCACTGCGCGGAGGCAGCGGGGGGAGGCGTCGCAGTGCAGGACTGCAGATGGAGCCGCTCCCTCCTGCCCGCTGCCTGGGAAGGTAGCTGAGAAGCACCCTAAAAAGCAAGGCCCTGATTCACCGAGCTGCATTTCAGCACCTTGCTTGAGCACGGCACAAAAATGACACCGAAGCCAAGCATTTTGCTGAATCAGGCCCGCCGTGCCTGAAGCCACAGGGTTGCCAATGGAGCAGTGAACCACCCCCTTCATTTTCTCATTGCTTTAATGACTCTCCTGATTCAGACAACACGCGCCCTGGGGTCTGTCCACTGGTAGGTGATTCTCCACGGCAGCAACAAAATCTGTAGCCACGGGGCAGCCCACCTCTGCTTTTTTTTTATTATTATTATTTTTTTATTTTTTTTATAGAATATCTTTGCTTAGGCAGCTCTTACTCTCCCACTCACACAAAAGAAGGGAAACAAAACGTAAGGGGCAATTTTAGCTATTTATCGCTCTGAAGCTGCAACCGCGAGTTTGGGGAAATGTATATAATTTACAACAATAGCCCCGTTTGACTTTTTGTCGAAGTAATTTAATAACTTAACCAGCAGCGTGAGCACCCTGCTGAGTCCTGGCCTTGGAGTCCGGGCTAATGGGACTTGAAATTGCAAATCTTTTCAAGTCATTGTTGGAAGTGACTCATTACGAGGCAGATTCCAGGTAAATCTTCTGTGCTAGGTGATATGTGACTCACAGACACAATGTAAGATGTAGTTATCAGTCTTTGTGAGAGCAGTTCAGAGGAAACAATGTATTTTAAGATTTAAAGACAGCTCTCTTGACACACTTAGAAGCTTTGTGTTATTAGAGCTTCAGCTCTCATCTCTTATTCATCCTGTTGGGCGGAGAGAACTCGGTTTCCGAAGTAGGCTATCAAGCTGAATAAACTTACGAGCAGAGGTGGATGAAATGTCACAGGAGCAGAAATGTCAGAGTGGCGTTATGCCTGAGCAGTTTGCCGCGGTCTCCTGCGACATTTGGGGATGCGGTTGGCGTAGCACCAGCCAAGGCTGGGGTGCAGCAGGTGAAGGGGGAGGGGAAGGGCTTTGGATGGTTTCCTCGCGTGATTAATTGCCTGCGTCCAAACTCCCTGGTGCGCGAGCACGAAAAGTACGTGCAGATCACCTCGCGCTTCAGCGAGCGGGGCTCTCATACCAAAGGCAGGCTGCATAATGACACCGCTCACGCCACCATCCAGGACACAACTCCTGGGTAGTTCGGCTGCACTCGCTCAGCCCCGGTCCTCTGCAGGTTCACAAGCGTGGGGGCAAATGCATGCAAACCAAAGACTCAGTTGAACCGGAGGCAAGCTATCCGTCTCATCAGAGCTGCAGACTGTTTCACATTAATAATGGAAGTGGATGCACTCGGGGCGAGGTTCTGGCCAGATACACTGTGGATTTCCATCCTGCCTAACGGCTGCGAAGTCCGTGCCTGTCATCCTTGAGTGACTGCCTTTCATTGATTTATTGCAAGTAAATAAATGTTGGGGCAGCCTGAAATTCCTGTTGGGTTTGGGGCGTTCTTTGGCCGAGGAAGTGGAATACGTGAGCTCTGGATACTTCAGATCTACAGGTCTGCCCATTATTGATATGACCTGAAAGCTCGAGGTGGTGCATACTAGACCTGGGTGTCAAGAGGCACTGTTCACCTCCGCTCCAATATACCCAGAGAAAGAGGGTGACCCTTAACCTGGAGCATCTTGAGCCTCACTCTCTGCAGTGTTTTGAGCGAGTTGTGAGGGTCCTCAGCTCTTGCTGGTGTTGCTTCAGTAGCCCCAGGGAGGAGTGGAGGCCACCCCACTGAGGTCTGCAGCTTGCTTTCAGTATTCCCACTTCACACCCAAAGAAATAACCTGCTTCCTGCACACGTGCCTTTCCGAAACACCTCCTTGCCCACTCTGTTGCCCTCTTGGCACCTAGAGCCATACAGTTTCAGCCTGGGACGAAGCTGTTTTCAGTGGAAAATCTGGGGCTCCTCAGGTCCTGTCCTGACATGGTGGGAAATTTCTTTTCTGGCTGGCTCGTAGGAAGCAAAACAGAACAGTTTGAAAGGCCAGGGCTGCTGCTGTGGAGCCCTTCCTAGCTGGGGCACGGTGGAGGCTGTCAGCACCCACAACGACAGCACAGGGCTGCAAGCAGGGAGGTTGGACTCTTGCACCGGGTCTTGGAGAGTTGAAGTGGCTGAGATTTCCTGAAAAAGGCTGGATGGGGTCGGATAACAATGTGGGGGGGGGGGAAGGTCAGGCAAGAGTTTTTAATTATTCTGCTGGATCTCATGGCAAACAGATTGTTCCCACCTGGTTGTTTGGAAACCCAGGGTCCGAGTTCCTGGAATCGTGATTCAGTCCCCTGGTTTTAAGCCAAGCATCCATGTTTGATGTGTGGCATCCCGCCTACAGTATGAACTGTGCCCCAGCAGAGAAGAGAGCAGAACTGCTCCCTGTTCTGGATTAGGCCCGGGCTGCGCAGGAACCCCCGCTAGTGCTTTGCTCAGTCCAAAAAACTTCTTGAGGTCTACAGGACATCCTCCAACCTCCAGGCAGGTGGAAATTGTAGATAGGGGACAATTCCCTCTCCCAGCCAGGAGAAGAAGGTAGTCTGTGTCAGATACAGTGGAAACGGGGGAATATTGAGAGGTTCTTCATTTTCTCCATAAGTATACGGGCTCAAGTGGGGGGAAAGGCCCATGCACAACACAGCCGTGCTAGGATAGGAGGGATGTCTGAAGAGCAGAAGTTTGTTCTGACTGAAATTTAAGACGGGTGTGCTTAGAGGAGATGGCCTGGAGTTGCTGGTTCTTAGTTGAACACATCACTTCAGCCTTTGGGAGTTGGGAGATTCAGCAGTTTTGCCTTGTTTCCTTCACCATATGGTCCTGTCTTTCTGGGCACCAGAGTTCCCATACCAAGCCTGCGGCAAAAAGCCTGGCTGGGGCAGTGGGACGGGGGAAGTGACCCGTGATGTGCTTTGAGCAAGTGCCCCGACTCCTCTGTAATTGGGAAGAGAGTCTGGCCTCGTCGAGGCGGCTGGAAACGTTTGCCGTCTCGTGGAAGTAGATTCCTTCATTTTTCCGCCGTCATCTACTGTAATAACAAGGACTGTAGATGCTGAGAGTCTCACTTTGGTTTCCTTTCAGCTGCAGTAAACAACAGCTCGGATACCGAGAGCATTCCCTCGCCAAGGCCCGAAGCCAAGGAGAGTGGTGAGAACGGGCCAAAGCCGGCACCCGGGCCCGGGAGCGACTCCAGCACGGAACCAGCCGTCAAGATGGAGGAGGCTCCTGCCACCACCGCTGCCACTGCAGATGCTGTTCCTGCGGCTGCCAGCACCCCTCAGCCCCTGGAAACAGTCGCTGAGCAGGCCAGTAATGAGGAGAAGCCACAGGAGGAACTGGTGGTGGACGTGGTGAAAACAGAGGAGCCGGAGGAGAAGCCAAGTGAGGAGCCCTGCAAGAGCGAGATCAAAAAGGAGGAGAGCGAGGACTGTCAGGAGAAAGACAAGGGGGACGACAAGAAACCAGAGGGTGGCAGCAGCAATGGGGGCACGGCAGGAGCAGAGGGGACCCCCAAGGCCGAGAAGAAGGAGAGCCACAAAACGGGCAAAGCCTCCGGGATCAATCCGGACAGCGACTCGAGTGCCACCTGCAGCGCAGACGAGATGGACGAGCAGGATACCGTGGACAAGAACAGGTGAGAGAGGATGCTGGGGCGGTGGGAGTGACAGCATGGCTTGACAGAGGCAATGGGTCACCGCACAGAGCCCCGGAGGTTGCATGGTCTGCTCGTCTCGTAGCGGGGAGGCCAGGCCTGAGGTTCAGGGTGGGTATTGGCAGCCTTGCCCAGGGAAGAGAGGCTCTTCTTTGTACCCTTGTGCGCCAGGATCAGAAACGCATGATCGCTGAGACCTGTCTTAGGAAGCATCTGTTATTGGCCCTGCTGGAGGCAGGAGATGAGGCCGGTTCACTTGGGGCTGATCAGCTTCCACGTAGCCACTGTCTGCTCTTGGTTTTTAAGATAAGTGGTCTGATTCTGCCCTCTCACTCAGGCAGAGGAGGTCCTGCCCTGCTGGGACTCATGAGACCTTTCCTGGAGCATGCTATGGCTTGGGATGAGTGAGGGGGAAGGAAACTATGCTGTAAAGTCCAGAGCAGGCGTTAGGGACTCCTGGGTTCTGTTCCCAGCCTGGCCAACCCTGAGCACACTTCTCCGTGTTTCTTTTTCCCCGTCTGCGATGTGATAAAAACATCATTGCCTCCCTTACAGTGATACCAACCATCTTCATGAACTAATGGTTTGGAAGCAGGTCGGGACCCTGCTGCGAAACGTGCTCTAGAAGCAGAATGTATTATTATAAAAATAAATGATAAAAATGGAGATGAAATTTTAAGCATAGGTAAATGGTAGAGCTGCATATCAGTGGGTGAATTCACTGACCCAGTCAGTCTCTTCCATCTCTACTATTACAGCTGTTCTTATGGAACCGGCTCTTGTGTAATGTAGGTGAACGCCTTGTCTCTTTGACTCCTGTGTTGGCAATGGCCTACCAAGGGGTGGTGGCGTGGAGGAGACCTTGCCTGCTCCTGACAGACCCAAGATCGATGGGCACGGTTTGGGTGAATGCCATGGTCCTTGATTGGGAAATGGCACCGTGCTTTATTGATCTGATGAGGACAGCTGTCTTGGAGAGGTCTGATTTATGGGTCATTGCATAGACTCGATTTCAGCAAGTGCCAGCTGGATCCATGTTGGTGAGCACACTCTCATTAAATGGCAACCAACCACTTGCAGGAACGAGGTTGGTTCAGGGTCTTAGTTAGTGCAGGCTGGGGCGTGAGCTATACCTCATCTGGGAAAGTCACCCGAGAGGTGATTCAAACATACAGACGTTAAGTATCCAGGGGGTAACTCCATGCCAGCTCCTAGGGGAGTAGAACAAGTCACCGGACACCACAAAGTGCAGCTTGCAGCCACGCATGGTTTTGGATACATCTCTTGGATTTCCGTCACGAGGTTGGGAGCACAAAGGCATGTCTCCCTGCCACGGCATCCTGGTCCTCCGGGGAGCAAACCCTGCAGGGGAGTTAGAATTAGCATCGGGGTCCTGGGGAACGAGCGGGCTAGACCGTGTCCCCTTCTGCCCTCCCCACCAGCTAGCAGATCCTGTCCTCCCCATGCAGTGATTTCATGAGCACCGGCTCTGCCTCCCCTAGCAGCGGTCGGGGCTGTGAGGTGAGTGGGAAGCATCCCTCCACCCTTGTTTGGGGAGCTGGGTGCGGCTTTGGGACTGGGAGAGCCTTCGCTCCCCACCCAGGCACTGAGCCAGTTTGAGGGAGGAAAGGCAGGTGTCCCAGTTCCCTGCCTCAAACTGGTTTGTGGGGGAGTGGAAAGCAGTTTGGCAGCCGGAGCTGGCTGAGAGGGAAGCACGCACTTCAGGGCCAGGAAGCTGGCCCAGAGAGCTCATCACAGCCAGCACAAAAACTGGGAAGGCGCTGGGTTACGCCCAACGACCCTGCCCTCGTAAACCCATCCCCGGAGCGCTCCCGCGAGAGCCGGGCAGGCACTTCAGACTTCAACGCAGCGAGGTCATTAGCGAGCATTTGCGAGCACAATTAGCATAATAGCATCCTTAATTCTGTTTGCGCTTCCTGTGGGAATAACTCAAGTCTACCAGGAGCCTCCTAATACGTGGGGCTGGGAGCAAGTCCTGGCAAGACCTTGGCTGCTGCGCTCAGCTGCGCCAAGGCCGGCCCCGCTCTCAGGAGGCGAAGGCTTGTTTCAGTGTATGATCCCTCCTCCAGGCAGCGAAAGGAGGCCAGCCCTTGGGCTCTTCCCAGACCGAATAAACCCCCCTGCAAGAAAGGGTGAAGGCAGCGGGAATGCTGCCTCCAGTTAAACGTTAACCAGGCTTCGAGCAGCAGCAGCAAAAGGGCTTCACCCTTCTGCAAGCAGCTTCAAGTCAGGCTCCCCGCAGAGTCAGCACATATCTGCCTTGTCAAACAAATACCAGCGCTCAGGGACGTTAAACATTAAACAGGCTTCCCCCTGCACCTGGTGCCTCTCCTCACCACCGCACCATGCTGGTGGGGGGGATGGGACTGCTGCAGGGTGTTTGGGCTCCGCTCCGCAGGAGAGGTTTCCTGTAGTTGCCAACCAGCCAGCTGGGGCAGGCTGGCAGCATGGCTGGGGCAGCGTGGGGCTGAGGATGCTTCTCGGGCACCTCCCAGCCGCCTGGCTAGCTGATTTAAAGCCACCTCCTGCATGTCTGCCCAAGCTGTGGTCCCAGCAGTGACTGCATGGTAGACAAACCCTAAAAACAGCCTGGGCCCCTTCCAAGAAGACTTTAAAGCAGACAACGGCACCCCTATCCCAGGACAAGAGTGCCCACGTGCTGGTTATCGCGCTATAACCGCAGCACTTCAGGTTGACACCTTCACTTATCCCCGCTTTAAGGTGTTGGTCTAAGGACATAGGCAGACAAGGCTCGTTGGGTAGATGTGGTATCTTTTATTAGACCAACTAGGTAGTTGGAAAATTGTTCTTTGCACACTTTGGGGCACAAACGCCCTTCTTCAGGCATAAGGAAAGACTTTCCCTGTGCCCAAAGAAGGACGTTTGTGCCCAAAAGCTTGCAAAGAACAACTTTTCGAACTTTAGCTGGTCTAATAAAAGATATCACCTTTACCCAGAGAGCCTTATCCTAGCTTAACATACCTGTGTCGATCTGCCGTCACGCCACGACTGCAGACTGATGAAGCACCTGTTTATCTTATCTAGGTGCAAGGTGCCCGTGTGTGTGAACACCTTGGGCCGGGTCCCAGGCTTGGACGTGGGGAGCTGTTTTCTCTCTCCCTTGCTCTCTGCCCCACTTGCAAGTGCCTTGAGTCCCTGGAAATGGGCTGTTTCGCCTCAGGTGGCGGGGGAGGAAGGTTTGCAGGCCAGGCTGGGAAGTGATGCTCAGGGACAGCTGCGCTGGCTTCCCTCCATCTTCTGGCAGGTTGTGCTGGGGAGTGCCAGGCCAGGGCTCCCATAATCACAGCTTTAACTCTTCAGCGTTAAAAATAAAGATAATTACCTTCATGGACGGGAGGTGGGGGAGGAGGCCGCGAGCAATGCCAGGGCTAAAGTTCATGCAGCGGTCACCCCGCATGTAAATGGCTGTGTGAGGCTGCATGGGTTTCGCTAGCACAATGTTGCAGCCAAAGTGAAGCGAATCAGCAGCGCGGCACGCTTCCTGCGCTCATGCCGATCCCGCGCTACAGGGCACTTTCTTCCGCTCCACCACAGCTCTACAGGGAGCCCTATCACCAGTCCCGTAACTGCAGGGCTGTGCATCACTAGCTAAGGCTCAACTTGGATGAAGTGGATCTTACTTGCCACAACACATGGATGAGCAGAAGGCAGGGTAGAGTTGCGCCTTAGAGACTAACCAATTCCTTGAATTCAGACTGACGGGACTAAACACCTCTCTCTGAACGTGGGAGCGCACATGGGTGAGCAATCTGGGTTGTTCCCAGGTGAGCCCATCCCATGCGCCCGGGGCCATCCCACGTCACGTGTGCGTAGTTCAGGGCCACCCTCTAATCTCGTTTCACTTGTCGGGCAGCAGATCCCGGTGGTCTCTCTCTCCTTTGGGGCTTGGCTGCCAACATTGAGCTTGGGAAACCCAGAGTCAAAAATGTATGGGTTAGCATTGTGGAGGCATAGTGCTGCGTCCGCACACATGCAGGTCGGAGGCAAACATCTGTTTGTGTGCAAGGGGCGCCGGGTGGCCCCGGCAAAGTGATTCAAAGTGATCCCTGCTGCTTCCCCAGCCAGCAGAGCTGCACACGGGAGGATTAATATCAGGTGGTCGGTCGCAGCTTCTGCCGTTCACGTCCATTGTAACAATACTCATTATAATTGGCTTCTTAAATGGGAGCCTCTCCAAGTGCGTCACAAACCCCAGGGGATTCAGCTGCACAGCGCCTCGGCAAGGCTGTGCCTAAAGTTCGGCTCTAAAAGTTGTCAGGGCTGCAGGGCCAACCCCTCAGCTGGCGTAAACTGGCTCGAACCGGCGTAACTCGCTGCTTCACACCAGATGAGGGGCTGGCCCGGGGCCTGCTTGTTGATGGGAGCCAGAGGGTGCTTTGCGTTTCAGAAAATAGCCGCGTAGCACTGTATCCAGGGAGGTCTCTCGCACAGGGAAGTGATCCCGAACGCTGGCAAAGCTGCCAGGATCGGGGCCCGTCTTGCGTGGAGCCACTCCCGGCGCAGCTGGAGACTGCGGCTGGGCCACGTCCCAAGCCCTTAGTCACACAGACGCGGGGAGACCCCCCTCCCGGGGCGCGCCCCCGCCTCCGGCGCTGCACCGATTGGTTACGGGGCCGCGCTCGGGCCTAGGGCTTTGACTCATTACCTGCTTGGCGAGGTCCGTGTGTAACAGGAATTGGCAGCACCGCTCGCTGGAAGCCCGGTGCGCGCGCTGTGGCCCCGGAGAGCCGAGTGGGCGTGATGCTGGCAGCTCTGCCGCGTCTGCAAGCCAGGTCCACACAGAAAGAAAGAGAACCTGTTTTTTTTCTTCTTTGCTGGGAGACATGTGCAGAGCGTTTTTGGTTTTGGTTCGAGTCGAACCAGAGGGCAGCGCTTTCGGAAGGGACCCGCTGTTTGCATCCTCCCCCTCCCCAGGCCCGGTTTCTCAGGACGTGAGCTGGGCCCCTCCTGAAAACCACATGCCTTTAAGGTCTCTCCATTGCACAGCCCAGAAGTGGAGGCGCCCGGGTCACTAGTCCCTTGCACAGCTAGGCCTCGGTTTACAAGCTGGCCCCTGGCGCTGGATCCCCTTGTCCCGTGGCTCCGTGCGTCAGCAGGTTCGCACGGCCGTCGCAGCTCGCGTCCCTCTTGGGTGCTGCATCCCTTTGAATTTCCACAACAGTGGAGCATCTAGCTTTTTATAAACCACAGCTGGCAGATGCTGCGCATTTATACACAGAATGGCTCTGATTAGCTCCCCCTCTTCTGGTTTCCTCCCGGGCATTTATTCAGAGCACTCCTGAGTCAGACCACTGGGGTGAATCCAGCGCGGCGCAGGGAGGGGACGGCAGCTTGCCTCTCCCTCCTCCTACCCAGCGTATCCTGGAGGAGGAGGACAGGGCAGGGAGAGCGCAGCGATGCAGGAGAGGGTTGGGGCAGGGGAAGGGGGATGGGATCCCAACGCAAGAGATGGATTTATTCCCCTCACATGGCCTGGCCACACTTGTTTATTCATCCAAGGGTGAACACAGGATGACCTTGAAATTTATAGGCTGAAAAGAGCAGCGAAATAACAGCTAAAATAAACAGAGCGAGCTGTAAACCCTAAAACTATGGGCCACCTCCAGCAGCTAGGAGGCGGGAGATGAGTGGAGCTGGGAGAGACACAGAGCAGCGGTCTGAGCCCAGGCCTGGGAGCCAGAAGCACCCGCGCTCCGGGTTTGGCTCTCGGGGTTTGGTCCGCCTGAAACACGGGGGCGATGCTGCTCGACCCCTCCAGGCAGGCTGGAGGGCACGTGGAAGTGACTGGCCCTGAGAAAGGGGGGCCGGCAAGTGCCTCTGCCACATCCCGCTCCCGTGGAAGTGAATGGAAGTCAGTCCTGTTGCTTGTGCCGCGTTGCGTATGTAAGAGGCGTGCTGCAGGGGAGCCCAGCCTGGTCCCTGGCGGCCTTCCTGCCCAACGTATAGACAGCGAGGGTGCCAGCAGTTGCAAATCCCTCACCAGTGTCCTGGACACTACTACAAACAGGTGGTGAAGCAGCTCCTCGAGGAGGGCAGTCCTGTGTGGGGCCATGGAGGCAGCGTGTTGGGCTGAACCCTGTGCATGCAGAGTGAGCAACGGGAAGGGGGCAGGACACTTTTGGGGCACAGGAAGCGAGGACCCAGGGCTTTGTCACAAGTGGAGCAGGGCTTGTGCCACTGCCCAGCGTCTGGCCAAGGGCACTCGGGGATGCTCCCGCGCCTTCAGCCACTCGGCACCTGGTGCCTCCCTGCTCCGCGTTTTGCATCACGGCAGCGCAGCTGCGGCGGGACCACGCAGAGCAGCTTTGCGGTGGGGGCCGCCATCTGCCAGACCCGCTCCGCCCGCCAGGTCGCTGTTCCCAGCCGGCCCATGTGGCAGCCCAGGTGCACCAACCTGGGGACAAGCCAGCAGCCTGAAGGTTAAGACATGGTGCCAGAGAGCCAGGATGGGTCCGCTGAGGCCTGCAGGGAGGGGGAGCTCGCTCAGACACATGGGATCAATCTGTAGTGGGACTCCGGCCAAGGCGCATGCTGAGACGTGCTAGCTCGCGGACACATGCTCGCATGGGGAGCTGCTTGTTATTTCCATTGCTTAGCTCCTTTATTCTCTATCGCTCTCGCTCTTTGTTAGGGAGAGCAGGCAGGAACCATCCCACTCGGCCCGCTGTGCAGTGTTTTACTCCCCTCCCCCTCCTCACCGTTTTGCATGTGATGCTTACCAGTCAGCTGCACCGTAGCCAAACCAGGATCGGGCTGATAGCCGCCGGGTCACCCACCTCTGGACCCAGCCCTGAATCCCATCCACAGCCACCTCCTTATCTTCTAAAACATTCTCAAACCTTCCCTGCCGTGCCAAAGCCCTTCATCTCTCTCACTGGGCTGCCTCAAATCCAGATGCAAATGTCTGCTTTCCCAGGCCATCAGGCCACATGCCCAGGACTGGCTCTGATTGCAAGCACGCTGGTGGCAGCCAGGTGGGCTGGCATTGGCATTGTACCAATGACCAGAACTAGGCAGCCAACTCAGTGTCTGATGGGGCTTACGCGCTGGCTCTGATTCTCCCCTGCACGTAGACTTCAGGTACTGCAGTGGCTTAGCTAGAGTTACCCCCGCTTTGCACCACAATGAGTGAGGGGGACTCGGGAGCCAGGTACTGCTCTTCTTCCTCCTGCACCGGGTCTCCTGGTCCCATCAGCAAGGCAAACAGGAGTTGGCCCGCTCTCCCTATGCTGTCTGTAATAGCTGCGTCCGATGGCAAGGGAGCTCTGCCTGTTGCAAGCTAGGCTGTGCTGTATAAACTGCACCGTACAATTAAATATTGGTATAATTTAGGTGTGTCCAAGCTAGGGCTTTCACAGGGTAGTAGCTAGCGAGGAGCAATATCCTGCATGGGTTCTTCTTCACAGGAGGATGGTCCACGATGTGTGCTTATGACCTCTCACAGACCAAAGCCGAGTGAGTGGTTCCCTAGGTACCGTTATCCCTTTGTGCAGCAAGGCCAACTGTGTCTCCTTGAAGCAGCATTGCAGACCTTTCTGAGCGCTGAACACTAAGCAGCCTTGTAATGCATGGGTGGCCCTATGATGTACCTTGTCAAGTGATGGCCCCCATCTTGGTCGTCACACCAGGGACCTCCAGCGGCAAAAAAACCCGACCTCTGCGGCTTTAGTTACAGAGCCCAGGCCCCTGGTGGACAGCAGGCTGGCAGAGAGGTCAGCAATATGCACTGACCAGGTCGTTACGCACGTGGGGATGGACCAACACGGAGCGTGGCAACAGGGTTCTTCTCCAGCGGGGAAGGTGACCTCCAGGCTTGACATCTAAGAAGGAAACAAGATCATAAACATGGAGGGCAGACCAGGCAGGCAGTGGAGTGTGATCGAACATGGAGTTTGTAAATAAAATGGCTCGGGATGACATCTGTGTTTGTGCATAGGCTGCTGTCTCCAAGGCCCAGCCTCCTCAACACTGCCAACGACGCGCGGCTGAACTCTTCGCCTCAGAAGCCGTTGGACCTGAAGCAGCTGAAGCAGAGAGCTGCTGCCATCCCCCCCATCGTAAGTACCCGCCACGCGCCTGCTCCCACGCTGCTCCAGCAAAGCTCCCGCTTCCCCTCCAAGCTTTATGGCCTCTTGCTTGGTTTTATTTCCTTTGCGGGGGGAACCCAGCAGAAGCTTGCCTTGTGCGTGCTTCCGTGGGCGTGCGAAGGGCATGGGTGAACCTACACGTAGGCGTGCAGCCGTTCCCATACATCTGTGTGCAGATCCACAAGAGGGGGGCATGGCAGTTTTTTGCCCGTACAGGCCCTATGCACATGGGTTTGGTGGCGTGCATCTGCGTGTGGCCACGGTCACACGTGGGCATCTCCCCTGGCCTGTGTTGAGTGTGCTCGTATATGAGCAGCTGCAGGGGTGGGCGCATTGGTGTGCTGTGTGTTTGCTTCGGTGGTAAGGCATGGAGGGTGATGCGGAGCCAGGAACGTGTCAAGTGCTCCCGTATGCAGTTCCTTCCTGATCTCCTGAAGGAAATTTTCCCTTGGAGATGTTCAAGTGCATCTTGAGCATTTTTCCAAGCCATCAGAAGGTCTGGACAGAGAGAGCTAGTCACGGCCTCCTCCAGCTTGAAAAAGCACACCTCTCTGCAGTGCTTTTTTTGTAGTTTAAAGGCTCTTAAGGGCCAAATTATGATCACGGGTACACCAGTGTAAGTCCAAATTAATGCATCAGCATCACACCCCAAAGCAGTCTCATTATTTCTTGGATCCAAGGCTGGGGGAGTGGGGTTTGCAGAATGGGGGGGAAAGGGGATGGGAAGCTGCAGGCGCTGATTTAACGTGTAATATTTTGCGGGTTCGAAACGGATGTTTCAGGGGAAAAGTTCACGTCATCCTTCCAAACATCTGTTCCGTGACTGCAGATCCCTCCATCCTACTGAAACCCCTCTGTTCCCGAAAGCTACAATTCCTTGGCCATAGATTACATTCCTCAGACAAGGCAAATCTGAGGTTCCCTCGTAGCGTTTCCAAAACAGATTGATAGCCTTGTGGCAAAAGATAAACACACTGCATCACCCTGTCTTGTTTGCTTCCTGTGCGAGGGAAAGCAGTGGGTTGCTGAGGGACCCTGGGAGCAGAGCATAAGGTATTCAGCTGAGTGGCTGCAGGGCTGAAGCAGAGCCTCCTCAGAAAGACGCTGAGGTCTTGGGTTTTTTTTGGAGCAAAGCCTCCTTGGAGATTCGGCTCGGAAAGTGAAGAGCAGATGGTACAACATGTCCCTTTTCTCCTCTCCCTGCCTCTGCTCCCCCTGCAGATTTCGGAGGGTTTCCCGGAAGGGGTGTTGCAGAGTGGAAGCCTGAAGTCTCAGGTGCCTCCCCACGCTTTGGCCCTGTACCAGCAGCAGATCACGAAAGCTCACGAGTCCTCCCGGGAGGAAGTGGCCCAGAGCAAGCCGCCCCAGCCACTGCCACCACAGCAGCAAGCTGAGAAGGAGCCACTGCAGCCCGGCAGTAGCCCCAGAGGGAAGAGCAGGAGTCCTGCTGTTGGTGACAAAGAAGGTGAGTGGGTATGTGCGAGTGGGAGGGAAGGAGACAGCTCCTTGCCCTCTGCAGTTTTCCACCTAGCAGACTCCTAATAGCATCTCGGAGCAGAACCAGGCAGGCAGAGCTAATTCACCTCGTTCTTTAGAAAGTACATCAGGTCGCATTGAACCTACAACAAATCCAGGAACAGCGGCAACCTCTGAGGGTGCAAAGCTTGCCTTCATTAACGTTCCCGCCATTCATTACAAGGCTGGAGGGGCTGGTGGTGTGCCAGGGCATCAGGTTCAGCTGTTCTTTGCTACCTGGCTTTTGCTTTTTATAAAGAATGCTTTTAATGCTCAGCAGGGACCATTATTTCATTTACAATCAATGCTAATGCTGCAGCTTGGAAGCCAAAGCTTCCTGTAAAGATGCTTGATGCCTTTGCCTTGGAATAGCTCCGCTGCAGCCTGGCTGCCTAATGAGCAGTTCTGAGCTCCCTGCCGGCGGAGCCGCGTCAGCGGCATTAGGCTGAGCGCTTGGGGATCGCGGTTGAGGAGAGTTGGGAACTCTTGATGGTGCTGTCCGGTAAATGCATTTTTATTTCCAATGTCGAAGTCAATTTCTGTTGAAAGTCTGCGCGCCGGCCCCCTGACTGGCTGGTGCTTTTAAAACACCTGCGTTTTTACAAGAGGAGTCTGGCTTAATTGGTCCTAGGGCTTTTATCAGAAAAGTTTGGATCTTGAATGCAGTTTAAATAGAGGCCACTCATCTCATGGACAGCAGGACCTGTGAGTCATGATGTGTGGCATGGCAGAGAGAGGCACCGCTGCCGTCACTGAAGTACCCGTGGGTCCCCTGAGGAGCAGAACTCACGGCTCGTGGTTTCAAGCTACAGGAGCTAAGGAGGAGCGTTCCTCTAGCTGCCCGGTGCCCGTAACTTCTTCCCCCCTCCAGCCACAGCAGGGAGTGCTCGTTACAATGGTAACTTCTTCCCACCTCCAGCCACAGCAGGGAGTGCTCGTTACAAACAGGTGAATGTCGAAGCCGCTCTGAGGCACCATCCACCTAGGACTGCACAGGTGCTGCTCTCATCTTCATCCGGAGGGACAGCAGCTGTCTCAGTACCACACAGAACCATGACACACACGGCAAGCAGTATTTGCGGGGAATGGTTTGCCACAGGCCCTCACAAAAAGAAGGAAAAGACCCATAATGATTAAGATTTGAGGTCAAAGCGGGAAGATACGGATCTGTCATGATTTGGCCAGCCAAGATTTTGACAAGCCATTGCGTTGTGTTGATCCAGCCTTGCAGGGTGGTAATGCAAGCACAGCCCGAAAAGACCACCTCTACAAGGCAGCAAACCTCAGCTTGGCGAATGCAAGCGCCATCTTTGATTTGGGGTCGGACAGACGTTTCTTGTTTGCAGCAATGAAATTTCACTTGCTCAAGCAAAAAAAAAAAAAAAAAAGGACAGGGAAAAATCCACTGAGGAAAGTGAATTTGTTGGAATTTGATCTTGGTTGTTGCTAAAAAGTTGTCTGGCAGGAGCAGCGACGCTTCTGCTGTTGCCAGCCAAGAGTGCTCAGGTCTGGCCTAATTATTAGACAAGGAGCAGCATCCCTTGCTGCAAAATGCCTTACTTGCTAGAAGAAATGATTGCTGGTGCTCAGCCAGTTGGCTTCCTTGATGATAAATAACTGCATACAGGGAGCAGCCCTGTAGAGTAATTTATTGTCCTGTTTCCAAGCTGAGTGCAAGGAATATAGTTTCACCTTGAAGGAACTGGATACTCTGACACGTCTTGTGGTTGGTGCCTTTTTGGGGTGTGATGTCCAGCCCCTCCTGGCCTGTGTTCTTCACTCTCGCTCCCTGGGATTCATGGCCTCAACAGGAGAGTTGAGCCCCAGCTTTTTCCAGGCCACGCGAGTTTTCTGCCGCTCTTGTACTTCACTGCATAGACAAATCAGTTCGATGTCGTCTGGCTTCCATTTGAACCATGTCGCAGAGTTTGTGCTCAAGGACCTCTCCTTCGTGCTTGGAACCCCAAATGCTTCTGCTTTGAAGGTCTGCCAGTGCACTTGAGATGCCCAGTTCACCGTTCTACCAGGTTTGCTGCTTTCCTGTAACCAGTGGAACCAAGAGCAGGCAGGAGAGACGAGCTGCTTGAAAAGAGAGAGGCTTACACACCATATGGAAGTGTGCTGAAAGCAGGTTTTTAAAGATCAGGTTGCATAATAACCCTGAACTCTGCAGCCTCTTGACTCGTTTGTTACCACGAAGACCTGGACTTGCAAAGCCGTACTCTTTGTAAAGCACTGGAGTGCTGTGCCAGCATGAATAGCACCGCTTGTCTAGTGCTGGGAACCTACGTAGCTCATTGCAAATAATTAGTTATTTTAATAGCATCTCACAGGGCTCCTTCAGGGGACATGCGTACTCTATCACAGGCAGGGAAGCTGAGACCGAGAGAGGAAGTCAGTTGTCCAAACCACAGAAAGAAGAATTGGTGTTGGAACTGCTTCTTGGCTTCCCAGTGGATGTTCATGCCCCTGGACCATGCTGTGTGATTAGGATCCCAGGTCTTTCTCACCTGTTCGTAGTAGATGAGTCCCTGGGGTAGCACCCATCTCCTTCAGAAACTTAAGGTAGGTCCCCATCCACCACTGTATCGGAAGCAAAGGTTGAAATCTTGGCCCCATTTGAAGCCAGTGGGAGTTTTGTCATTGGCTCCAGCCAGGCTAGGATTTCACATAGCACCTCACATTGGCATCTGTCCCACAGAGAAAGAGAAACCAGCGGGAGATATGTGAAGAAGCAAGGTGACTAGCCAGTCCTGGCAAACCTGTGAAAGGGGTTCAGGGGAGGGGAGGGGAGATCTCTTCCTTCCCTTGGGCCTCTACTTCAGAGTGACAGGGTGCCCATCATCTATGGATAGCCATGAAGTAACAGCCTTAAACTCAGGTGCGTGCAGTGCAGTGCAGCAAAACCAGTGCAACGATCCTTTCATAAGTGAGAGAGAGCCTGTGTCTGCCCTGAGCAAAAGGGCTGACATTGCAAAAGAAGATACTCTTGCTCTCCCTCCACCCCCAAAGTCATGAGACTCCCCCCATCCCCCACCCCAGATCAGTGAGGCCTTACTTGATAAGAGAGCGTGAACTCTTGCAACTGCTCCAGAGACCAACGCATCTCATGCTGCTCTGGACCTGCTTCAAAGCAAAGTTTCACATACGAGCATAGCATCCCAGCCAAGGTGTTGGCTGCCTTGCAAGCCTTTGGCTGGGGCAGTCTATCAGTTTGGAGGTCAGCCAGCATAGCTTTGCCTCCCTCTCCTGCTCTCCCTCGACACAGGGGGTGTTCCAGTTGTGCTGCTCCGGTGTGGGGCGGAGGGAAGGCACCATGTCCATTTGGATGCTGCTGCCTGACAGATGGATCCCTTTGCTCATTGCCGCGCAGCCGACGGGCGTATTTTTGGTTATCACTTGGCAGTTTTAAAGCCAGCAATATGTTTTCTATTGATTTAGTCACTCATTTCGCTCGGCCTTTCTGGGAGATTGGAAGCCAACCGCATTAATTTGGATGACGGATAATATAAACTCTGACTCCTTAGCTCCGATTTCAGGGGCTTGATAAACGGTAATAGGAGCTCCCTTCCCAGGATAAGTGCTATTTTATCAAAAGCTGGCTGAGTTATGGTTCCCCTTTAATGCAGGGGCAATAATAGACTGGCCACATTTCACCGACTCCAAAGCAGTCCGTAAGTGGGAACAGCTCCCCCGGGGGAAGGAGGAGGAGTCGCCTTTCTGAGATATGGTGTGCGCTTGGCTAATGGTATCTTGATGGCACCTCCGCCCAGAAGGGTGTAGATGGCACCTCCGCCCAGAAGGATCCAGTGGCACATCCCAGGCTGCAGGTATAGCACCACTGGCGTGCACCACTTCGGGCATGGGGCACGGCAGCTCTTCCAGGAAGCAGAGGCGAAGAACTCTCTCCTGGAAGAAGTGCTAGGCCCTCTTGGATGTCTGCAGTGTAGACTAGAGCAGGGACTTAGTTCACAGGGTTCAACCCAAAAGGTGTCTCTCGTGGTGAATGGCACGGGAGGCTCTGGTTCGTGTGCCAGGAGTGAACTGGTCCTTCCAAGGTTTGCAATGGAAACTGGGGAGTCCACAGCATACTGAGTATGGAGCTGGCCACATCCACTCTGGAATGTGGGCCTGGCTTGGATCAGTGCACAGACCTGCTGATAACAGACTCCCTGCATCACCCCGCGCAGGGCGTGAGAGCAATCTCCCAGCTCCAGAGCACACCAAGCACTAACAGTGACAGTGGAGGAAAGCCTCATTACACAGGACCTTTGGTAATCCCCATCCAAAGCTTTAATCCAGGCAGGGCTAGGGTCAGGATGCACGCTAATGGCGCTTCGCTCCGTTGTGCAGAACCTCGCCTAGCACGCTGGCTTGGTGCGTGGGATGAAGCTGCTGCAGGGTACCCGGAGATGTTGGCCAAGCACTTCCATTTGGGACCAAAGCGTTAGAGGTCTCAGGTGCCTCATCGTGGGGCTGGATTCTCCCATTATCACCCAGCCCGTCGGAGGTGTGTGAAGTTGCTTATCCAGGTCATGAGGCCCTTTGGGGAGCGTTGGCTTTTAGTTGCCTTCACCAATCTGAAAGCTGGGATGGGACCGTGGAGCAGCTCACTTGATGCCCAGGTAACACAGGCCGTGGACTGGTTGGTCAAGCCCAACAGCTGCACGTGAACTAGAAGTAACTTCTCCTGGAAGGATGTCCAGTCTTGTCTCGGAGGCTGCCTGGATCTTTCTTGGCCTTTGACAGTCGCTCACAAGCCACAGCTGTCCCAGGTATTAGGAGCACATCTGGTCACTTCACACACTACAAATTGCCCAGGAAGCAGACGCCGTTATTCTGTATTTCTGCGCTGTTCCCATGGACACTAAATTGCTTCTGATTCGCTTCTGTTTCTTCATGGTGGGGAAGCCTTTTTGTGCATTGCTAGCGGTGCCAAACACGCAGCCCTGAGACCGTGCTGCCATAAGCGCTCCAGAGCCGCGAGACGAATCGAGCCTTCTCCTCCTTGGCGGTTCCCTAGTTGTGAAGGCAAACCTGCAGATATGACGAGCTGGTGTCACATGGGTCCTAGACTCCATTGAAGTCGGTGGTGTTGCACTGGGGCGAAACCAGCATGACCAGCAAGTTCGAGCAGGTCCTGCAGCCCTCTCGTGGTCAGCTGGTCCCAGCAGGAAGGCGAATTCAAGATCTGCTTGAAATGTGCGGGAGAGGAGATGTAAAAAGGGGCTGGGGTTTGTTGCTCTGGGCTTGTTCTTGATAACATCTGCTTTACTGAAGGGGCTAAAAAGGAGCTGGCAGGAAAGTTTTCCCAGGGAAGTAAAACACATAGGCACCTGTGGAGGTTTGGCACGGCCTGTTCTGGGCTGCTTTGCTGGAGCTTAAACCCCAGTGAGATGCAGGTACCCAAGCCCCTTAGGACAACTGGGATTTAGGTTCCCAAAGCACTTGGGTGTTGGAGAAATGTTCCTCCCTCCCCTGCCCCAGAGCCTAGGCTGCTGCTCTGCTCTCTGCCTCTCCTCGTTGTCTGGCCCTGCCCTCTCCTTTCTCTTTCACCATGTGGTCACCTCTGTCGAAGGGGCCTCCGCCTCTGCCGTGCCTGGCAGAGCCATCTGGAGATGGAGGCGAGACGCAGGCGTGCTTCTTCCCTTCCTTGGCCCTGCGCTGCTGATAAAGGCCTCATCCTCCCCAGCTAGTTGGGGAGGGTGGGTTTTTTTCCACTCAAGGCGAGGGGCTGCTGGGAGTGCCCTGGCGGTGCACCACGGCTCGTGAGCACTGTGCAAGCGTGTGCGTTGCTCTCAGCCTCCCTGTGGGAGACACAGGCAGAGTGCGACAGGAGGAGGTGGGGAGTCTGCTGCCCTGCTCCATGGGTGGAGCACAGAGTTACCAAGAAAAATGTGCTTGAGCAAGAACAGCCTGGAGGAAACAGCTTACTGCATCTCTCCAAGCTGCGCCTTGGCTCTGCTTTCATGCCCGACTGTAAAGGTGACTTGCAACACAACAAGGGAATATCTGCACCCTTTTTGCATCTCTGTGGTGCATGCAGAAGGCCTGAAGGTTCGGTCTGGGGTTGTTCCTTCCCTTGTGCTTGTCCATACAGACTGCATGCCTTTCAGGGCACAGGCAGTCTCTTCCTGCACGTACGTACAGCACCTTGCAGGTAGAAGTGGTCATCTCAGCTGAGGCTCTAGATGCTGCTGTAATAGAAATAAACATCACCACATTTAACTCCTGCCCCTATTTCTCCCTTAGAAATAGTAAGATCATCAATGCGAGCTTCCTTTAGGTTGCAAGAGAAGTCGTCAGAGGTTCCAGCTGGACAGTGTGATCTCCAGCCCTAAAGTGAAGGAAGGGGTGCATGTGAAATCTCTCGCCAAGGTCTCTTTTCTTGCAGCGACGCATTAAGTGTCTGAGTAAGATGGGTGTTCTCGAAAACACAACAGAAAGCCACAAAACAAACCACTTGTTTTGCTTCTTTCCCTCCCCCCTGCATGTTTTGATCAGATTGAATAAAACCCAGTTCGAGATTGGTTTGTGTGCTCCCTCTGACATCAGCTCTGCAGTCATCCAGAGAGCCTTTAAGAACAGCTTTGTAAATAAAACCTAGGATTTTAGCAGAAAGAAGTGAAAAAGTGGGGGGGGAAAATCCACCTCACTCATTTTGAAAACCCTTCGGGGCCTGTTTTGTGGGTTGCTGTGAAGCAAAGCTGTTTGGTGTTTCAGGCCTTGCTAAGATGCGTCCAGCACCTGCCTGTTCTCCACGCTGGGTCTCTGTCCAAGAGTATGCATGAGGAGCAAGGTGAAGCGTGGTTTAGCAAGCCGTTCTGTTTTCCCCTTGCAGAGAAGCCAGCCCACTTCTCCATCGCAGAGGGACAGAAGCTGGGTGGGGAGCAGCCTGTAACCTCCTGCTGGCCCCCTGTGCTGTCCTTCCAGATGCCCTCCAGGGAAGTAATCAAAACTTCCCCCCAAGCTGAGCCACACCTGTTCCAGTACAACCCTCCAGGTAAGCCAGGCTCCTGTTCGGTACGTACCGAGCCCTCTGGATATGCGCGGCAAACAGAGGGTCCTTTGCTTCGCGGTTGGGGTGGCCAGGTGACCTCCTGTGCTACGTTTAGGGCTGGGCAAGGTGCAGAAGTGGCCTACGAGGCTGCTTTTTCTAGCATAGAGCAGCTTGTCCCCTCTGTGCTACAGAGGTGAAGCCTGAGAAGATCGGGATTCATGCAGCAGTGGGAAATGTTGAGCATTCATGGCTGCAGTGCCAAAGCAGCTGTATCTACAGCCCATCAGCTCTCCCAGCATGCCCCCTCTTCTCTGTCCCTGCCCCCGTCATCTCTCCCTTTAGCCGATAGATTGACCTTGTTCTTTTTCAGGGTCCTTCACGCCTTATATTTTGTGCGCAGGGCACCCGATCCCATTAAACTTACATGAGAGCTCTCGGCCCGGACTGCAAAGGCTGCCTGCTATCTCCAACCCTCCCCCTCTCATCTCATCCACTAAACACTCCTCAGTGTTGGAGAGGTCCATTGGCTCCATTTCCCAGGTAAGGGCAGAGACAAGTGTGGGCCTGGGTGGAAGGTGGTGTGGCTGTGGGTTCAGAACTGTTTCCTGCCACGTCTCTATTGTGGTTCGTGGGCAGAGGGCACTGGGTAATCACTCTCTGGAAAGATATGTGGCTGAAGGTTGCTGCCCTGAGCTGCACCAGTATCTGCTTCGAGTGACCTCTTTGCCTTGTTTTGCAGGGGGTGCCCATTCAGCTCCATCCTCCGTACAGCTCTGAGCATGCAAAGGTTCCCATTGGCTCCATCACCATGGGCCTGCCCTTGATGGATCCGAAGAAGCTGGGTAAGTGGCTCACATGCCAGTGGTTCGTTTGTCTCTTCATGGGCTGGCTCATGTAAGGGCTTCTCTTTCTGTGGGAACAGTCAGTGTGGCTGCTTGATAGCTGCCCCACTCAAGTTGAGCACATGCATATAGCAGATGCCCCTTAGGGTGGGGTGGGGCAGTGCTTTGGGAGCTGGACGCCATCCAGGCAGGATGCAGAGCTTTTCAAACTCCCCCGTTTCACCCAGCCTCGATGAGCAGCAACCACAGGGTCACCGCACACTGGCAGAGGTGGAACGGTGCGGGGTGGCAGGGATTTATCTCACGCATTCACGCACAAGGAGTCCCTTCCAGCTTGGATGGGGTTGGTTCAGTCAGGGATAATCCTTCCCCGAACTGAATGCTGGACTAGATGTGACCTCCCGAGGTCCATTCCAGCCCTACTTTCCTATGATCCTAAGTGTCTGCAAAATTTAGCCGCATGCTCAGTGAACTTATTAGCAAGCTCAGTAGAGGCTTGAATGAATCTTCTCTTGGTTCTCGCAGGTGAAGCTGTGAGCATAGAGGTGGAACATTAATATGGGAGAAGCAAACCTTATCACTGCCGGTTCTGTGCCTGCTCTATATGCAGAGGCCTTGGCCCCCCTAGCGCTGCCCATCTAGCACCATCCAGCACGACCAGACCTATTAGTCCAGAGACTGTGACCTTGCTGTCACGAGAGGCTGTGGTCTACAGAAGTCAAAGAGACCTGATTTTGTGCCTGTGTTGGCCCCAGTCTTGGAACGGCACAGGATCTGAGTGCAGGATTAGGCCAGTACAGAAAAGGCATTGCTATTGTCCCAGTTAGTAAACCAGTAAGAAAGCAACCTAGGTAGGGAAGAAAGAACTAGAGATTAAGAATATGTTGATGACCATGAATAGTAAGGTCCCAAAGGGACCTTACATAAAATAGGGAGAAGGAAGGGAAATACCCAGCACTGAGTTAGCCTGGGACAGTGGGAGATGACAATCCAAAGGAGACACCCTGGAGAGGTTAGAAGATAAGGAAGCTCAGGATGAGGCGAACTTCAAAATGAACAAGCACACAATGAGGGAGAGGAAATGAACAGCATGGATATTCACCAGGGAACAACCATCTGCTCCTTTGGGAAAAGGAGGTAGCAAATAGCCATGTGCATGCACCATCTTGGTGTGGTGTGATTGTGAAAAAAGCCAGCTGAAGTGTTGAGAAGGGAAGTTGCTATAGAGAGAGAGAGATGGCGGCCCAGGGTGTCATAATGTCTACTTACGGCCGTGGGAGGGATTGCGCACGGGGTATTCTGGGTCATTCTGGTCCCTCCTGCCGGAGGCGAAACTATGATCAAAGTGGAGAGAGCACAAAGGGGAACAAAACTGCTAAAAGCCTTAACTGAGCATGAGGGGGAAGCAGAGGCAGCTATATTCATACGGTCAAGAGAGCAGAAGGCTTGGTTGGGGACACGGTCCCTATCTATAAATATCTCGGAGCTTGCTAGAAGGAAGGAAATTCATTTGTGCTCTCCAGGCCTTGTGGGATAGAGAGTCGCCAGCCTGGAGCAAACAAAGAAAACATTTATTGGGCAGATTTGGGAATGTTTGGAGAAATCAGGCCAGGGAATAGACTCCTGAGAGAGAGCTCCTATCCTAGCCCAGCCCGTGGGAGGATGAGGCATAGGAAAAAGAGAGGAGAGGAACGAAGATTCCCCGGGCAACCTGCCTGCATGGTCTCGCAGCGTGTTTACAGCAGGACACTGTGCTGTCCTGGCCCGTTATGGAGGCTGCTGGTTTGCTCCCAGTGCCAGGGTGCCGCTCTGTTTCAGGAGATGGGTTACTGTCTCTCCAGCTCTGGAGGAGCTGCCATAGCAGGGCAGGCAGTCAGTCCATCGCCCCAGCATTACCCTTGCCACAGCCAACTTCTGACGCATGAACTGAGGGAGGGGCCACCTCCTGCCCCCATAACTCCTGTTCCAGAGTGCTAAATCCTGCAGGGGCCTCGGAGTAGCTCTGAGTTTGTACAGCTGCACATACCCACAGGTTTAAATTATTCAGCCTGTTTGAAAAGTGCAGCCAGACTTTCTGTGCTTGAACATGGTCCTGCTGCTTGGCCAAGGGTGTCATGGGACACCAGCTGGGATCCCAGGGCCCCCGGTGGTTTGCCTGGCATCCTGGGAGATGTCCTTGCAAAGGGGATAATGGGAATTGGATTTCCCTGGTCATCGGGAGCAGTGTCATCTGCTGACTTTATAGCAGCAGGCAGGCGACCTAGGGTTTATTCATGAGTTGTCTTCTGTGGCCTAGGATGCAGAGCAGTTGAGAAGGAGAAAACCCTGGACTGGAAAAGATTGACATGAGGGAGCAGGGAGAAGAAGAGCCATGTAGGGGGAGCACTGCCTGCTGTTGACCAGTGCAGTGCTGATATTGTCATGTGTGGTCCATGTTTTCCAGTGCCTTTCCCTGGAGTCAAGCAGGAGCAGCTGTCTCCTAGAAGCCAGGCCAACCAGCCTGAGAACCTGGTAATGCAGACGTCCCAGGAGAGCTCCATCCTGAGGGGTAAGCACATCACAGCGCAGATGGGAAGGGAGGGAGGAAGGCAGATCCCCGTTCCAACGAGGGGCTGCCAGAGGGGTTCCTGTGTAAATCGACCACCCAGGCCCAGCTTTCCAAAAGCAATTCATGATCGTGGCTGCCTCTGGCATCTGGGTTTCAATTGGAAGCCTGGCTTTTAGAGGACAGGTGTTCAGATCTGTACTGAGTCTCAAGGTGGCTACCTGAAAGCTCTCCCCATTTTGCAACAGCTGGGCCCCAAACTTTGACCCCAGCTGAGCTTTTAGCTTTTCAGGAAGAGGAGGCTTTTCCATCACGAGCTTTAAAGGGCAGTGCACTGTGCTGCTAGTTAGGAAAGCAGATCAAGTGATGTGTAAACTAAGTGGATTACCTTCCCCACCCAGCCCCCTGGGGAATAACAGGGCCATCTGACATAGAGCATGGCGCATTTTTCAATCCAAGTCCCTTTTCTCCATGTAAAAAAGGAGGAGGCACAAACCCTTCAAAATGCAAATGCAAGTATCTTAAATAAAAAAAAACCAAAAAACAAGCAGTGAATTCAGCCAAATTCAGGAAGTGCCTCGGCTGGCTCAGGATCAGAGCAGATGGAATACGAGCGCATCCAGCCAGCCCCGCTGCAGACTCTCCATAGAGGTCTGTTGAGGTAATGCTGAGGGCGATGGGTCTAGGTTGGTGTCCTGCTGTTCCCAGATGTGTCAGCCCCTCGTGATTAGGGCTGGAGGCTGGAAGGTTCAGAGTAGCCACGGGGTGCTGCTTTCTTTCCACAGTGCTGCACGCTGATTGGAACCAGGCCTCGTTAGGTAGGCTCCTCAAACAGCCAGGTCCCTCAGGAGGTTTGTATCAGCACCCTGAGTTCTCCTCCTGTCTCCTCCAAAGAGCAGATTCTGAATTCGGTGGGATACAGTTAAGTCTTGGACTCTAGCAATGCACCTTGTACAACAACTGAATGGCCTGCATGGACACAGGATGATTATGTCCATCCCTGATGGGGGCTGCTGTGGATAATGCCTGAAGCCTGTCCTACTGAAGGGAGTGGGTCCTTGCGCTGAACCACCCAGGATTTTGTGCAGGGTGAGGTGGGGTGTCAGGGTTTCACAGAGTCCTTCGCCTCACTCCTCTTGCTTTGCTGTGATTTGCAGGGGCAGCACTGGGCTCAGCCTCTGGAGGGAGCATCACGAAGGGAATCCCCACCTCCAGGCCTCCTCCAGAATCGCCCATCACATATCGAGGCTCCATCACCCACGTAAGTTCCTCCTCTTATCAGTTACAGAACAAACAGCTACTAACAGCTGAGGTTTGCAGTGAGGTCTGGGTAGAAATGGCCACTGTCAGTGGATATGCCCCTCCTGATAACAGGGAAGTGATCGCAACAGGTTGATGCTTAGTGGTGGAGTCTGAGAGCAGGGTCGATCCCAGCATGCAGAAGCATCCTTAGGAAATTGAGAGGGACAAGCCAAGAGCCCATAAAGACTTGAGCAGTAGACTCCGTGGGAAGCCGCAGTGACCTGACTCACCCCAGCGGAGCTGATTGTGCATCCAGCTTGGGCAGAAAGGGAGAATTGGTGCCTCCCATGTGAACATTTATCAGCAGCCCCACACGGTGTGTCCCAACCAGCAACGCAGGGAGGACGGGAAAGGGCAAGAGAGCCTTGCACCAAGGGAGATTATCTTGAGTCTTGGCCTGGTTCCATTGTTCAAGCCAATGCAAAAGTGAACAGCCTTTGCTGGAGGCCAAAGCTGCATCACATCTGAAATGCCTTTTGCTCCTGGGTGCCTGGATTTGAGAGAGGGAGGGGGAAACAGTTTAAAAAAACAAACAAACCACTGCATTTAATCTCACCAGTGCCTTGTCTGAGAGAAAGAAAAGAAAACAGGAGGACGTGGGGCGGGGGAAAGGCAGCCCCCTGATAGGAAATGGGAGCAGGACATTCAGGTGGGGGTGATAAATCTGCAGGATCTCTCCCTCCTCCTCCCACCCCACCGCAGCAGCCCCACATGCGTCAGGCCGTGCCCAGCCCCCCCAAGCCGGGCGGAACAACGCTCTGCCCTTAATCTCTGTCATTCATCTTGAGAAGCACAGCTGCCAAGTGGGTGATAGTTTTGTGGTGTGAGTTATTGCTCATCTGGTAACTGAGCGGAGAGCATAAAAAAAAAATCTCT